TTAAACTTTTTTCAAGAGGAAAATACAAAAGCCTTTTACTTGCCCTAACAAGTTTATTTTAATTTCTAGCTTATTTTAATCTAGCTTCTCGGAGTGCTGGAAGAGGAAAACAGCTTCTACGTTTCAACATTCATCCTTGCCCCATTGTGAGACTTCTGACTTCAGCATCATTCTGTCACAGCCTCACCTGATGGAGAAGGGCAGGCTGGCTTCCCGTGCTTCACCGGGGAATCCTTGTTTACAGAGCCTACAAGTAATAGGTGAAGTCCTAGGGTACAGTTCAGAGACAGACTGAGAATATACAGTTGCTTTATTGGGAAAGAGGTGATCCTGAGTGACTTGAGAAGTGTTTTTAAGTAAATGAAGGGTTTGTGAAGGAAGGATTATGTTCTCCATATCTATTGAAAATAAAATGTCAAGTGTAAACTGATAGCATGATAAAGCACAAAGTGCACAGGCTTCAAACTCAGGCAGATTTCGTTTTAATTCCTGCTCCAAACTTTACGGTGTGACAGTAGGGAAGCTACTTAATCTCTCTGTGCTTCATTTTTCTTATTTGCAAGACACAGATTGTTTTGAAGATTAGATAAAACATAAATAAAGGGTCCAGAAAATATGTTTTAATTCACAATTAACTAATGTGATTATTATAGTATTTAAAGTAGCTTGCAGGGTTTTCTTTTTTTCTTTTTTTTTTTAATTGACAGATTTTTATGTGGTACATATTGTGATAATTTAATACATGTATGTAATTAATCTGCTTAGGGCAATTAGCTTTTCCATTTTCTTAAACACACACCACACACCATTTCCACTTCTTTCTTCCTTCCTTCCTTCCTTCCTTTGTTTCTTTTTTTTTATTTTATTTTGGAAGTGCTAGGGATCAAACCACCCAGCATCTCAAACACAAACATGCTAGACAGGTGCTCTACCACTGAACTATATCCCCAGCTCAGACATGTTTCATTTCTTTGAATTGGGAAGCTTAAACTTCTCTCCCCTCTCTTCTAATACTTTTTAAAATATTTAAATTTTTGTGAACTCTAGTCACACTACAGTGCTAGAGAACATTCTAACTTACTCTTCTAATGTAACTGTATTTTGGTACCCATTACCCAACCTGCCTCTAACCTTGCTCCCCTCTACCCTTCCCAGCCTCTAGTGACCAGGGTTCTATTCTTTGTTTGTATAAAATCAACTTTCAGCTCCCATGAGTGAGAACATGCAGTACTTGTCTTTCTGTGCCTGGCTTATTTCACTTAACATAATGACCAGTTCCATCCACGTTTGCACAAATGACAGAATTTCATTGTTTTTATGTAGTGTTCAGATTTTGATGAGACATAATGAAAACTTTTCACACTATCAGAAAAAAATAAATGAAGCACTGAACTAGGCTCACGAGGATCCATGATTCTGTTTTCCTGGAGTCCTCATGCAGTAAAACAGCCCACTAGGCAGGACAGACAAACAACTGTCTGCCTGAGCAGGGCAAATGATGAGTCAAGGTCCCTTCTAGCCCAGTGAGGAGCCAGAAGGACTTCAGCACTTTGCTAAGATGCCATCAGTACCTCCTGGCCAGTGGGAAATCCTATAACATGCAATGGTCTTATTCTCCAGGTGGAAGTGTGGCTGTTTCCTGGTGCACAGGTCTAATGCTGGTCAACACGGCCTACTTCATTATACCTTTGTACCTCCTGTTTCCATGCTGCTCAGACATGTTCTTGAGCAGGGACCCATATGCTCTAGCCACAGAGTCTCCTCTAGGTCATGCAAACACACCTAGCATATGCCTGTCTCTGCAGTTGCTATTTTCTCTACCTGGAATTAGGTACATACCTGGATACTTCCCGAGCATCAGTCATAACACTCTGTCACAGAGACTATCACTGGCTGCCCTACAGAAGCGGCTCCCATGCCCATCCTACCTCTTAACTGATTTATATTTCTCTTAACACTGGCCAACAACTGACATATATATATTTCTTGATACCTACACAATATAGACAAAAAACAATCATCAAGGTATATTTAGAGGGCAATTTTCAAGGGTAAGGTGAACATTAATAGGAAAATATTAGCTTTAGGAATCAACCAACCTTAGAAAAAGTGGCCGAATACTCTGAAAAACAAGGACTCTAATGGAAGAAAATGACAAAGAAAAAACAAAAAACAATTTTCTAAGTGCCAAGAAGAAAATAAATATTAAACGCTACTGGAGATACAGAAGGAATGAAAGAGAAATAGCTGAATAACTAACGTCAGGTAGGTTTGGCTTGGAGACTGGAGACAGAGAGTGTGTATAGAGCAGAAATTCTTAACTTTGGAGATGGTCCTTCCTGAAAATCTGAAGGAAACTATAGAATTCTCCACCAGAAAAATGTGTATCTGCTCATCCACACACAGTTTTACATGCCATATCTTAGAATTCACAGAAATTCAATTCACTTGAAATCCATTCATGGAGTCCCAGCTGAAGATTATAAATGCCCTGGCCACATGAGGCCCATCAATCATGAATGTCCTACCCCCAAGAATCACCATCCAGGCAGGTCTAGAACCTTCTATGAAAGCCCAGCTTCTGTATTTTTTTACCTCCTCATCACTATCTAGGTCTTCAGTGAGCCCAGACTGCAGAGCCTCGGAAAAGAGGCCACAGGAAATAGCCTTTGGTGACCTGGACATAGAATCTAAGCTAGTGGGGAGGAAGAGGAAAGAATGGAAACAATAGGTATTCACTCTTCAATGGCTTACCTTTGAAAATAGAGGCCTTCGTATTGTTTTAAATGAAAGCTCCTGAAACAGGAAAGCATTTGGCTGGAGGCCCACAGGCCTGAGTTCTAGTGTGTCTACCACTAATGAATCACTTGACCTAGAACATATTACTGGATGTTGTTATCAGAAAACTGGAAGTTTAAGTGGATTCTCTATTCAAAGAATGTGACCTTAAGAATTTTGAGGTAAATAAAATTTTACAGAAATCTAAATGTGTTTTGAATATATGAGAGTTTGGTAAGAAGTGCTTGCATAAATCATTTTGTAAAGGAAATGATCACCATGACTGATTTTTAACATAAATCTGAGCTATAATATAGTCGTGCATTGCTGACAGGAGCGCATTCTGAGGAATGCACCCTTAGGCAATTTAGTACTTGTGTGAACATTATAGTGTCCTTACACAAACCAGGATGGTGTAGCCTACCACCCACCTACCTTATGTGGTATAGCCTATCGTATGAGCAATCTGTCCTTGACTAAAAACGTCATTATGCGGTGCATGACTATATAATGAGCTACATATTTCATAAAGTGTTCTAAATATAAGTTTCTGGTTTATCCAAGAACTCTGGCAGAGAGAATACCAAAGATAACTTCTGACAATCTGTCATCCAGATGTAAAGAAATGCCAGCAAATTATGAAAGACGTCTGACCATTAAAGAGTTGTTGCAAAGCCTACGCACTATGAGAGACATACATGTCACATTTGCTGATATGGTGTTGTCTAAATCAGATGGAATTTTCTAATGGAATAACCTTACATAGATGTGGCTTCCTTAGCCATTTCAGCTCTCTCCTTATTTTCCATGGCTAACTAATCTTAACTTTGCATAGGAAAAGTACGATAGGAAGAATTTAGAGAGAAGAAAGAAGAATGAGCAGTCAGGAAAAAAGCAGTCTCTTAAGTCCAGTTTCAACAGGAGTACTACGAACGTCAGCAATGCCTAGGAGTGTCACCAGATAACAACCTAGTCACACTGACAGGGCAGGACATCAAGCAAGGCCATGTTTTAGAACCTCTCTTCTCCACCCCACCCTGACACGATGCCAAAAATATCACTTGGTATTTTATTCCACCTTCTAAATGCAGGTAATTGCCACCGGTGATAAAATGCCAGGGGCATAGCGGGACTAGAAGGAGAAAACCAGGGAATTCAGGGTTCTGTTCTTGAACTGGAAGAACAGCTTGTTCCTTTACAAACAGGAGGACGACGTTACCACCCACCCCCCAAATGTATATGATTTGTGGGATAAATCCCTTTTGTTGTGCTAGAGTTTTACATTCTCTTCCCACACTGTCTTAAAAGAATAAACATTTCTTGAAAATTGTTGGTTAACAATCCCATCCCACAGTTGTGGAATGGAACTTCTTAAAGCTTGAATTTATGCATATTATAGATTAAAATGAATAAGTAAACATTCATATGTTGTAAATGTATTTTTTAAAGGAAAATGCTAAGAGTCTTGAGTTTTACAATCAAGTAGCATTCTACTGGTCTCAGTTTGAAGTGGGTTTTTAAGATTTGCTTAGCTTCCATTTTTGAAATTTCCCCAAAGTACTGAGAATTCAACATGTGTTTATTAAAAACAAAAACAAAGAACTATGGTAGTATTTTCTAAATACAACACTGCCCTGTGTATGAAGAGGTGCCTTTACTAAAATTTATGTTAATGTTGTTGCTTCCAAAGAAACTCTTCATTCTAAAGCAGGAAACAGTTATGTATTTTGTGACTATTTCTTAGAGTACAATGATTAATATAGTTTTATAAATGTTAGCTCATAAAGGTAGTAATTTTCTGTAATTTTTTATTTGTCCACAACTCCTCGTTTCCTGATCATGCAAAACGTAGGAGCTATCACTGCAAGTGCTATAGACACTTATAGATACTTACCAGAGAAAAAAAGTAGGAACTTTTTGATAATCAATTACCATATACCCTGTTTTAAGAAACTGAATTACCAAATATGATTGGGAAGAGGACAGCATGAGAGATTGAATCTGGTGATGGGGATGGTGTCCACAGTGAATTTGGAGATGCGCCTATAGGGGGCAGATTTTTCCGTCCTTGGGTCAGCTGTCAACTTCTCTTTGCAGGGGCGGGGCGGGGGGCACCCCGGCATCTTCAAACCATCAGGAGCCATTAGCCCCCAGGGAGGTATGGGGAAAGTTGTGTCATACAGAAAAAGAACATCACTGAGTCTCTTCCCAGTTTTTCTTACCTGTTTCTCCCAGAATCTCTGAATCCTTTAGCAAAAGGGTTTCTGTCAATTTTTAATCTGGTGATCTGAAAACAAACAGATATGAATTGTTTTGAAATTAAGTGATTTCTTTTTGTGCTACTCCCAGAAAATTAACAAAAAAAAATTATATTAATAACAGCTGTTGCTTTTATTTAGTTTCTTTTTAGTTTGAGATTTAAATTGAAGTTTGATATAGGACTTGGGCCTGGCATGCAGATGTGTGACTAGTTTCTCTCAAATCCAAGGTTTGCCCAGTATGTGACTGTAAACTCTCTCCTACTCACCTTCCTTGCCCCAAAATGGTGATAAATCACTTGCCTAGATAGACCTTGAAAGGAAAAACTGGGCAATGGTCAGGTCTATGATACCTGACATACAGAGGCACTTTCAAAATGCATGTTGAATGAATGTCGTGCAAGTGACTAAATAATGAATGAATCAGACCACCAGATGATCGACCTCAGCCTGGAAGATACAAATGATAGACTACTACAGTTCCCATTTCCCTTAAGTTGTGCTTTTCTCACCACCAGGAATTGTTCATTTAATGACCTGAAATGTTCATGTAAAACAAACAAACAAAAAAAAAAAAAAAAAAAAAAAAAAAAAAAAAAACAGTGGTTAGACTTATGCTAGGCTTTTACTGCAAAGGAGAAATCTGTAAATGTTTGAGTGGGGCAGGACGCAGCTCATCTCAGCAAGTCTTCAAGACTCATAAGCAAATCAGAAGAAAGAGAGAAGCTGCTTAGGCTGAGCCAAGCTGGCACATCCACTTGCATCACCTAGGTTGGACAGGCCCTAGGGCCGCCTAGTTTATGCCCCAGTGCACCCTTCTTAGTTCCAACAACCCCTGCCATGATTGCATATATCACCCTCCTGCCTCTTGACTAGAACAAGCCTGACCAACATATTCCATATGCACCCTAGTGTTTTTTACTTTCAGCCTCGGCCATAGGAGGCATTTTGAAACCTTTGTGTCTGAACCAGATGTTAATGTCTTACTACATTCAAGCCATAGGGGTGGGAGCTTAGGAAGCTGTGGAGAGACAGGAAGGCACTCTCAATGCAAGGTAATTCTAGAAAGAAGAAAATCTCATTATCTAAGACCATCTTCACTTTTCTGAAAACTGCAGAACTTATCACTTAAGACCACGACACTTATCTTCTGTGCTGTGACTCTCTCCTGGTCCCTCTTCCAGCTCACTTTGTCAGAGCGGAATTTCCCAAAGCCACAGCCTTTAAAAGTCTTTCAAATGCAATGTGAGATTCTGAGGAACAGACTCTGACTTGAAAGAACCATGCTGCCTTCAAGGTTATTTTTCTCCCTCAGCGTTCCTTGCTTCTAGAACGGCACACTAATAACGTAGCACTAATAATGTAGCCAAAGCAATTTTACATCTATTTTATAGACCAGAGCAGGAGCCTGAAGGTTTGGCTTTCTAAAGTCCAGTGTCTGCCATGTGAATACTGTATTGAGTTTAAAGAGTGTCACTGCTTTTCTGTGTTTGACTTAAAATCAGTTCTTTCTTCCTTCCATAATCCACAGCAATAAACCACACACCATATTTTCTTTTCAAGTTGGGGTTATAATATTTTATTTTCTCTTTCAAGTTGGCTTATTCTGTCCAACTCATTTATGATAGGGGTTTCTGATATATGATTGTGCTGCCACGTTTTGGGGGCCTCCGCAGACCCTGTAAATAAAACGACATTCTTATTTCATGGGGCGGCGAGAAATGGTTGAAAACCTAATTCCCACAGCTCGCTGGAGCCCAGGCCAAGGGGTCTGCGTGGAAATTTAATAGACAAATACCATCAAATGTTGGGGAACATAACACTTCTGTCCTTGTTTCAAAGCTTTTAATGTGAGATTTAGAGAGTTTTATGGGGAGCAGAGTTGTGTCGCTCATTATTTATCATCAAGGGTCTTTTGTGTACTAAGGGTGATAGGAAACAGGTGACAGAGTGATGCACAGTTAGTATAGGGATGTGTGTCATCCCTTTCCCCATGGACAAGAAAAGAGCAGGCATGTATGCAAATAGAGACAATATAAAACAGAAGTCCATCAGGTTCCCAATGAAGCAAAGCGCCCTGACAGCTCAGAGGAAGTCACAATCACACCAAGTTGAAGGGCACTGAAGTCTCATTGAGAGACAGTAGATGAACCAGGCCCTGAAAAAATGCATAGGATTTTAACAAAAAAAAAAAAATGCAAGAAGATGAAAAAGAGACAGGGGAAGCATTTCATAAGAAAGGCCAAATACCAGTCAGAGTGTCAAAGTGGGAAAGAAGTGCACATAGTCAAGAAACACCGACGTGTCCCATTTAACCAGAGCCTTGGCTACGGGACGAAAGAGAAAGCTCTAGAAGCTCGCTTGAGGTCACAGCATGAAAAGCCTTTACTACTTTAATGCTCAAGCATTCAGATTACTCAACCAGCAGAAGAGACCAATTTTAGTTATATAAACCAAATTATGATCCCAGTTAATGCTGGTGCTGAAGACTTTGGCTATGTGTACAAAGGGAAACAGGGGACGTGTTTTGGAGAACTAAATCAATGTATTCTTAACCTCAATAATCCTTAGTTTCGTCCCATGATTCCCAGATCAAGAGGCAGCCCAGTTGATTCAGATCTGCTGAGTGTCTTCCACAGTACAGAAAGATGCAAATGACAGCTGAGCCGTAAGGCTTGCTGTCCCGTGGAAAGCAAGGATATAATAAAAGATGAATTCTTATCAGGTAGAAAAGGAAGTTAAAAAATCCTTTCCCTCTGAACTGGGTGCAGTGGTGAATGCCTGTAATCTCAGGTACTGATGAAGTTAAGGCAGGAAGATCACAAGTTCAAGGCCAGCTTGGGCAACTAAGCAAGACTCTGTCTCAAAATTTAAAATATTATAATAAAAAGGGCTGGAAATATACTCAATGGTAGAATGCTAGCCTAGTGTGTTTGAGGTCCTGGGTTCAATCCCTAGGACCAAAAAAATAAAATAAAATCCTCCCTTCCCATACCATAGTGGAGTATGAGATAAAAGAAGACAGAAAGGGGAAAGCAAGCAGTTAGACGTCATGTGCCTTAGCTCTCAACTCCAAGAGACTTAGGAAACTGGCAGAGTGACCTCCATATACACTTAGGGGTGGCTGGCCCTGACACAGATGTGCTACGGCCTCAATAGCAGTCAAACAGAGGGCCTGGGTAAGACCTGAGGTGAGGCTGAGCTAGCAAGGGAGACCCATGAGGCCCTGACCAAGGCAAGAATACAAGGTTCAATCTCAGCAATCTCTTAGCAGCAGAACTTATCGGCATCAGGGAACCAAGGAAGATCAGACCAGATACCCCACAGCGGAGGACAGTGAACCTAGTGAATAGCACAGGGACCAAAGCAACCATGAAAATGATACAAAAATCTGTTACCTCTAGCCTGTGAATGCACCATACAATTAGAGGTCACGGAATACAGCAGAGAAGGGGCAAAATAACAAAAATTAAACACACCCAAAATGACTCAAGTTACACGAAGAGATACTGACCCAAAGAAGAAGTATAAAGTTACACTGTCCCTTACCCTAATATATGATCCAGGGATTTTTATAAGAAGCAGCTATAGAAATGTATACATGTATGTATACATATGTATTATTTTATATAGCTACATATGTTCTATATATTTTTCTACACCCAGAAAGAGAGCACATTTGACTAGTTAATTTTTAATCCTACTTCACAATTACACTTAACAATCAGACCCAAATATGACTGTCTTATCTGTACTTTCCTGTACTTATCATCTCTTGACTGAACTACTCTGAATGACCTCAAAACTGATCTCCTTTCTTCCCCTCCTGTTGTGTCCAATCTCTTCTCTACGAAGCAGCCCAGGTGATCTCTGCTAATGCATACCTGGATCATGACATTCTCTCGGGGCCAACCACTGTGCAGAATTCAGTGCAAGCTCCTTATAGAGGCTGCCTCCAGCCCACTCTCCAACACCACCCCATTCCTATGCCTTGGTCCAAAGGCTCCAGCCAAAGTGAGCTGCTCTCAGCACTGAAATGTGCTGAGCTCTTTCCCTGCATCAGGCATTCGTCCTTGCACTATCCGTGCACTCTACTTTTCACATAACTGACTCGGGGCTCTAAGTCTCAATCTAAACATGTCCCAAGAGATGGCTTCCAATCATCCGCCTCCAAAATAGGATACCTGTTCATCTTTTTAACTTTTTAAGTGCAACTTTTTTTTTTCTTTTTGGTACTAGGGATTGAATCCAGGGATGCCTAGCCACTAAGCCACATCCCCAATCTTTTTTATTTTTTTATTTTGAGACAGGATCTCACTAAGTTACTTAGGGCCTCACTAATTTGTTAAGGTTGGCCTCGAATCTGTGGCTCAAATCTTCAACCCTCCTGTCTCAACCTCCTGAGTTGCTGAGATTACAGGTATGCACCACCACACCCAGCTTAAGTGCACCTTCTCTAATTCCATCTTTGCTCTTGACCCAATTGGTAATCATATACTTCTTTTTTTAATTTACATATTTACTCACTCTCTCTCCTTTGAACTGAAAGTAGGACCCATATCTATTTTAGATTCCAATTTATTAAGCAGAACCTACTATGGCACATACTGTTCCTCAATAGATATTTGTTCAATAAATACTGAGTGAATGAATGACTAAGTGGGAACCAGGGATCAGCAGTCTTGAAGCCATGACAAGATTTAGAGAGTCTAGACCTAACAACTCCCTTAGTTTTACTTCCTTTCACTACAGGCATTACAGATAGAAATCTTCAATGTCCTTCCAATCAGAACAAGGTCTATCAACCCCCATGCAGCTAACACTATTCTACAGCTGTAGTGTCCAGACGTGGTCCAGTGATAAAGAGAAGACATAAGATAGAGAGGCTGTGAAGCAGGGTTTTATTTCCCCCCACTGATTTTCTTTTCATAAACTTTCATACTGATTTGTTTCTTCTGAGTTATTGAAGACTGGTGCAAAGTGGGGGCGGGTGCTGACTTGCTACCATTAATTTTAATCATTGTCACTG